TTGTTTTGTTTTGTTTTGTTCTTTGCTTTTTAAAGCAATGTACTCTTTTGGCTTCTAGTCCTAATTTTACTTCAGAAATTATTTTTAATGTGCTTCAGACACGGGCCTTCTGTCCAGGTCTTGAATGCAAGTACTGTATCTTTGTTTTGTATTCTTGTACAAATATATTTTATTGGGAACCTGTTTCACAATGCTTGTTAAACATATGACCTTATTCACATGAATGCATTCAAGTGCTGTAAATGTAGGGGCAGATGTTGGAACAGAGGAACCAATGTCTCATATTCATGGCTGCAGCTTACTGTTTGAGGCAAGAGGTTTCCTTCATCAGATCACTGCTGGTGCACATGCTGCACTATGTACATACTTCTTGCTGCTGTGACTCACACACACAGGCATGCACACACACACACACACACACACACACACACTTCCCTATGATTTAAGGGAAAAAAAACGCATCAGTCATAAAGCTCAGGAGTTGAAAGTCAGTGAGTAAGGCTGGGATAGTAACAGTTCAGAACTTGAATGAATTGCCAGTTTTCACCAAGTAACTGGCTGGCCTTCTCAGGCAGGCTCCAAATTCCTGTTGAAATGAAGACTTTCTTTCCTGGACTAGGCCTGGCATTCCTGGGAAACAATGGCCCTTTTCAAATAGGCTCTGAAATTTCACAGGTGAAGGGAGAGGGGCAGTCATTTGATCCCACCCACAAGAAGCCTGTTAGTATTTTACAAAGTGAAGACAGAGCCTATCGTGGAAATGCAGGCAAAGCTGGCTAGTGGCTAAGAACTGCAATCTAGACCCACAGTTCTGCAGATCTCTGTGAAATATGAATAAATTTCAATGTTCTGTCTTTGACTCACATTACAACTCTTTTTCTAAATTTTCTTAAGAGCAGTCTGCAAAACCACCAAAATAGGATTTTATTTCGTGTCTTGGAAAAGCAGTATTCTAGCTTGTCTTTAATTAGATATTGACATTAGAACTATAAAATAAAGAATTCAATTGCTGATACATGCGTGTGTGTGTGTGTGTGTGTGTGTGATTTTGGAAGACTTACTAGGTAAAAATATTCCATAGATATATAAACATACAACTATATAATTAAATACATACATATATACATGAATATATGTAATGATTTTATGTTGCATTATTTCCAAAATGGTTTTAAGTAAGATCTCATTATAATTCAATAATTTAAAAAATTCAAAAATGTTCAGGTAAGTTTATGAATCATAAATGGAAGTATAGACTAGGAATCCCCAAATACTGGGATCTAATGCCTGATGATCTGAGGTGGAGCTGATGTAATAATAATAGAAATAAGGTACACAATAAATGTCATGCACTTGAATCATCCCGAAACCAATGCCTTCCCCCATTCCATGGAAAAATTATCTTCCACAAAACCGGTCCCTGTTGCCAAAGAGGTTGTGAACTGATGGTATAGACAATATCAGTTTGAAAGGATTTGACCACACTGATCTCCATACTTAGATGTACAATTCATTTCATAGATTTTTATGAAAACTTATATTTGAGCAGATGTTTCAATAATTGAATGAGATAAACTGAAGATTTTAGTACTCAGTTTCATGAATGAGAAAACTAATGAAAGTTCAGATTTATCATTAGTAAACTGGGAGTCTATGTACCTGTTCAGCAAGAGACAGTCTTTTCTTCTTTTTTGCAATTCTGATAACTCCCCCAAGATTGATGACACACCCAGTATGTAACCTAGCTTGAAGACTTATTTTGAACATGGATTACCAAAGACTCAGGAAGTAAAAGCAAATAATAAATAAATATATTAAAATAATTATGTATTATTATTAAAAATAAATATAAAAATAAATAATAGAACTATTTATGATATTATCATTCTATATAGACTTTCTCTAAGAAACCTGATTATCTGGTCATTATATAGCATGTTAATATTAAAAATTTTTTTAAGTCATTTCAGTTTTTACCTGGTAATCTTTCCCCTACCCTCATTGTCCTCAATTCTAGCAGCAACCAGAGTATTTTGAGCTTGTGTCTTTTTTTTTTTTCTCCTGTGCTCAATTGCTTCGGTTGTGTCCAACTCTTTGTGACCCTATGGATTGTAGCTCACCTGGCTGCTCTGTCCATGGGATTCTCCAGGCAAGAATACTGGGGTGGTTGCCATGTCCTCCTCCAGGGGATCTTCCCAACTCAGGGATTGAACCCACGTCTCTTGTGGTTCCTGCATTGCAGGAAGATTCTTTTGCCACTGAGCCATCAGGGATTGAACTTATTACAATATTTCTTCTGTTTTATGTTTTGGTTCTTTGGCTGCAAGGCATGTGGGATCTTAGCTCCCTGACTAGGGATCAAACCGGTACCTCCTGCATTGGAAGGCAAAGTCTTAACCTCTGGACAGCCATGGAAATCTCAAGCTTATGTCTTATAAAAAGGATGAAAGAGCAGAACAACAACAATCAAACCAAAGTATCAGTGCTTGAGTTTCAAATGCAAAAAAAAAAATTTTTTTTAATTTTTTTTTAAAAAAGGACAGAAACAAAAAGCATGTTTTTTTTTTTTTTTAAGGTGCATTAATACACTAACACATCATCAATCAAAACCAGTTTCCCCAACCTACAAAGAAAAATTTGAGGAGTGAGGAAGACAACAAGAAATAAAGGGTAAAGAGTGTTCAGATATGGTGCATCACTTGAGAAAAGATTCTGAGTATCTATTTCCCCATCTCCTTGGTTATAAAGAATTAATAATAGAACCAACTGTTAAATTTGGGACTCTAGAGCTAAGAGACCTTATACTTCCCAAATGGAGCTTATAGAGGCATCTAGCTTTATGTCTGTCCTACTCCTCTACCCTTATTCAAACCTCTTCCCCCTTGCATGGAGAGAAATAAAACAGTGGAGATGGATAAGGTGTTCAAAATACAGCCCTAAGGTGACCCTATAGTATCTTTTGCTCCATATATATATAGTGGTCCAGACAGCAGCAGCTTGTTTTTCCAGTGAACTGAGAACAGCACAGATATGGTGTAGAAAACCAACAGCCTGGGGGAGGCCAGTTTCCCCTAGTCCTTGGCCAGTTTTCCCTGCTAATCTGTGTGAAAATTCAACTCAACAGTTAATTAGTGAACAGATGAATATGTCATGAAGATTATATAAGTAAATAAATGACAGTATCTGCTTTTTAAAAGAATGTAAGTTAGATTTTGTAGGGGCCATAAGACTATAATATTTATATAAGTATATATAATGCAAAGCAGAACGTGATACATGCAGATTATTGAAATGAGAATATTTTTACCTAATTTTGACTGAAGTAATAATACAAGAGATATGAAATGAATATGAAACAGACCTTACCCTTTGCCCATTTGCTGAATATAAAAAGTAAAATCCAGAAACTCAGTTTTATGATTTTTGAAACCCTCAGGTACTTCAAGGACATAAAAAACTGTCAGAGTTTAGAGAAGATGTTTTGAGAAGAATTTCTTTCAAGAAAGTGATGCAGTAAATCTTACCCTCTCTTTTCAGAAAGGTTATGCGGCTCTTCCTGTTGAAAAAAATGGTCTTCAACAAGACCACTCAGAGAGCTTTATATGTGTTTCCTGACAACAGAAGGCCTTGCAACCTGGAGACAGATGCTTACCTGATCTATCTAAATGATGAAAAAAAAATTGTCTGCTTGGTGTAGAGACTGTTGCTGTTGCTTTGAGACTAGCCTGTTCTAGAGCTTGAGGCAAAGGGTGTATGAGTAGATCAGCTATGGGCCATGTGGGCAACAGCTGGGTAAAATCCATTTAAGGACCGTCCAAGAAGATCAATAGGGATTGCTGAAGGTTCTTCGATAGTCTGAGGTTATGTGAGGAAAGGGGACTTCCCTGGTGACTCAGATGGTAATGAATCACCTGCAATGCAGGAGATGCAAAAGGCATGGTTGCGATCCCTGGATCAGGAAGATTGCCTGGAGAAGGGAATGGCTAGCCACTCCAGTATTCCTGCCTGGGAACTCCCATGGACAGAGAAGCCTGATGGGCTACAGTCCATAGGGTCACAAAGGGTAGGACACTAGTGAATGACTGACCAACACTTTCACTTTTTCACTTTCATGGGATGGAAATCTCCAGCGAAGTTAGAGACTGATGGGGTCCAGCCAGAAGAATGAAAACCACAGCTATGAAAACCTCCAAAATCCACAAAATCATCCCAGAAGAGAGGAAGTTTTGGCCAATGTCCAGCAGAGAATATGGCACAATCAGTCAAAGGAAAATAATTTTACTCTCACTTTTCCTGCTTACTTTGACCCTGGAGGATACAAGAAAGCTGATAACCTGTCAGTGAACAGGGAGACACTGAAGGAAAAAGAGCACAGGCCCACCAACCACTCTCATAGGTCTTGGGAAGAAGAGAAATCTTAATTTGAATGTCTATTGAAACATTAATCAATAACCTGGAATGTATATATTATAATTATTGAACTGACACAATGTTTTGGGACTTAAGGGATCAGAGAACTGCTTATTACCTTAGAGTAAGATAAAAAGTAATGAGATCCAGCCAATATTCTATCAAAGAGCAGGAAAGATTACCCACATTGAATAAATTTTCAAAGGGCATTGGGATACATATATATGTATGACTGAGTCCCTTCTCTGTTCATGTGAAACTATCACAGCTTCTTAATTGGCTATACTCCAATACAAAATAAAAAGTTTTTAAAAATAAGCAGAAAATTATTTCTCTGAAAAATAAAAAAGGACATTGAAGATAAAACAGAATTGTAATTTTTGACTTATCCTACAAGTTTTATGTTCAATATACTAATTGTATATCTTATAAAATATGTATGAAATTCTGTGCAGTCACATATAGTGGATAGACTATTTCTATATCTGGGTTAGGGAGCAATTTCTTATAGTATAAATATCACTGGATAAGGACTTGCTGAAGCACTGTTTTAGTCTTAGCTCTCTCTACTTTTCTATACTGGCCACCTTATGTGTTATGTTTCACAGCTTTTCTTAATCTCAGCTTCTTCCCATGTAAGAGTGAGTAAAAATGTAATAATGCCATATGAGGGCTTCCCTGGTGGCTCAGAGAGTAAAGCATCTGCCTGTGATGTGGGAGACCCAGGTTCAATCCCTGGGTCAGGCAGATCCCCTGGAGAAGGAAATGGCAACCCACTCCAGTATTCTTGCCTGGAGGATCCCATGGACGGAGGAACCCGGTGGGCTTCAGTCCACAGGATCACAAAGAGTCGGACACGACTTAGTGACTTAACTTTAACTTTTAATGCCATATAAAATGCCTTTTCCTCTAACTGAGATCATTTAGAGCAAATGTGATGATGCAATGAATACATTTCAATATTAAGTACAATACATATGTAGTATTGTATAGTTAAAATAATAATGAACACTCTCAGGGAAAATTATGAACTCAGATTGCTTTGTTAAAGAAAAGGCTTTAGTTTTTTTTTTTTTTAAGTTTGTATTAATATGCATTTGAGATATTTTTTAAACACACAGCACAAACATACTTTACTTATGATTTATCATGTTTTGTTTATTCATACTTTTTGATGGCATCTTAAAACAAGACTTTTTATCTCATTTAAGAACATAATAGTAGGTTTCAAGAACATATAGTAATTATTAATGAATATGAGTGCCTGTGTAAACATACACACAAATACATATATATATGTATATAAGTATATACAGAAGCATATACTGATATATATTATATACTAATATAAGTGTATAATATATACTTATATTTAATATACTTGCTTCTTGGAAGAAAAGCTATGACAATACTAGACAGTGTATTAAAAAGCAGAGATGTTACTTAACCGACAAAGGTCCTTGTGGTCAAAGTTCTGTTTTTTCCAGTAGTCATGTATGGATGTTAGATTTGGACCATAAAGAAGGCTGAGCACTGAAGAATTGATGCTTCAAGCTGTGGTGTTGGAGAAGACTCTTGAGAGTCCCTTGGACAGCAAGGAGATAATCCAGTCAATCCTAAAGGAAATCAACTCTGAATATTTGTTGGAAGGACTGATGCTGAAACTGAATATCCGGTACTTTGGTCACTTGATGGGAAGAGCCAACTCACTGGAAAAGACCTTGATACTGGGAAAGGTTGAAGGCAGGAGAAGAAGGGGACGGCAGGGGATGAGATGATCATATGGCATCACCGATTCAATGGACATGAGTTTGAGCAAGCTCCAGGAGATGGTGAAGGACAGGGAAGCCTGGCGTGCTGCAGTACATAGGGTGGCAAAGAGTCGGACATGACTGAGTGACTGAACAACAACAACAACAATATAATATATAGCATATGTATTCTTAGTTGTGTGTATATTGTGTTTGTATGTGTATATGCAGCGGTATATATACACAAGACTGTATATAAGCATGTGTATATAGTTAATTTAATTCTCATAATAACCCTGTGAAATCTACACCATTATTTTCTGTGTGTTACAGATCAAGGAACCTGAGACATATAAAGTTTAAATAACTTGGTCAAGGTCACACAGTAAATGATAAAGCCAAGAGTTATACCCAACAAAATAGCGTCAGAATTTTTTCTCTGTAAGTATATATTTTATTCCAACTATGTAAAGAGAGGTACAATACAACTCATGTAGGAATTAGAAGACAAGTGATTAAAAGTCAGCTTTTGAAAGGTCAGTGTTTATGTAAGTGAAGATTAATAATTCAGCCAGAAAGTAGGAAATTGATAAGAATTGTCAGGGTTCTATTAGTCTCCTGTAAATGAGGATAGATGACTTCTCACTTGTATCATGTCAGTGAGAGGAACATCAAGAAGAATACAAATAGAACCCAATAAGTGCCCTTTGCAGCTTGGAATAGAGACATTCCCATGTCTGATTCACATCTAAGAAATCTAAACAACAAAGCCTGGCAAAAGCTGCTTATGGCTAAATATAATATAGGACCCTATCCTAGAAAAACGCTTTAATAATAGAAGTTTCATACAGGAAAAAAAATTGCAAATTTTCACTTTAATTCAGTAAATTCTAGTTTGTTATTTTTATTATGAAAACAAAAAAGTACATGCTGTTTTATTCTTTTCTGTTTATTGATTTTTCTCCTTTATTTTAAACATAGGTAAGCTGAAGAAATCAGAGACTTAGTGATTTGCAAATGCCAGTTAAAAAAAGTCATGGCTGGAGCCAAGAATCTTTCACTGTAGGACCATTATCCTTTAATGTACTGTGCAATATGTTGCTTCTTTGAAAATACGACAGATTCATTTCCTTGGGAAGAAGGACTGATGTAGATCTGTGTAATCTTAACCACACAGTTGGATTTACATTATTTCAATGCCTTCCTCAAGTGACAATAAATATATCTTTAACGTTATACAATTTACAGGTGGTCTAAAATGTGTTTGAACCCTGTTAAAAATGTTTGGAGGTAATAGCCCAGTTAAAAATATTCGCAAGACTTTTGTATTTATATGTGCCTTAGAAGTGCCTTGAGAAACCCCCCACCTCACTGTGGACCATCCTTGCAGGTTATTTGGTTCCTCCTACTGTCCTGTTAGACCTGATAAATTAATATTTGTAAAACACTGAAACTTTAGTGCACTTATAAATTATTTTCTTGTTCTGTTTGGGTATAGCAATGAGTCTAGAGAAATAGAGATTGATAACTAGAAGAGAAATTACTTCAACTTCTCTCTGTGAGTGATAGCACAGTCTTGATATTGTGACTTTTCCCATCCCATTATTGAGTAGCCTTGAGTCAAATTGTTTTGGAAGGAAATAGGTAGCAGTTGGCCTTAGTCTTTTCAAGGCTATGGTTTTTCCAGTGGTCATGTATGGATGTGAGAGTTGGACTGTGAAGAAAGTTGAGCGCCGAAGAATTGATGTTTTTGAACTGTGGTGTTGGAGAAGACTTTTTTTTTTTCCATTTATTTTTATTAGTTGGAGGCTAATTACTTTACAATATTGTAGTGGTTTTTTTCATACATTGACATGAATCAGCCATGAATTTACATGTATTTCCCATTGAGAGTCCCTTGGACTGCAAGGAGATCCAGCCAGTCCATCCTGAAGGAGATCAGTCCTGGGTGTTCATTGGAAGGACTGATGCTGAAGCTTAAACTCCTATACTTTGGCCACCTCATGCGAAGAGTTGACTCACTGGAAAAGACCCTCATGCTGGAGGGATTGAGGGCAGGAGGAGAAGGGGACAACAGAGGATAAGATGTCTTGATGGCATTACCGACTCGATGGACATGGGTTCGAGTAAACTCCAGGAGTTGGTAATGGACAGGGAGGCCTGGCATGCTGCGATTCATGGGGTAACAAACAGTCAGACACAACTGAACAACTGAACTGAACTGAACTGAACTGGCCTTAGCCATTTGATTAGGTTTTCTTCCAGAGAAGTTCAGGAAGAGATTTTCACTGTAGTTCCTGGATATTATATAAAAATGCATCATGTTTAAGATGTCTTTGCCTTCCAGTGAGTTATAATCTAAAAAGATATTAGATCTTACTCAGTATTTTAGCATGGTACAATAAAATGAGTGGGGGAAATTTGATATTTACAACTATATTTGTGAAGTGGGTCAGTTTGGAGATCAAACTTTTCATGCTACTTAAAGAATCAAATAAGGTATTTCAAGCATATTTATCCTAGAAGAATAGAGTTGAAATCTTAACTAGGTTTCTCCATTGCATAGTTTTAAGTTTTGTTTTATAGCCACTGTTCTTAATGAGTAGTTATGAAAAGAGAAAAATAAGACTTAGACTCTATCAGACCCCTTTCATTTTACATGTAGAATGGGTTCTTGTTCTTCTGTTGGAACTCACATTCACCAAACTGGTATTTTACTTGACTTGGTAGCATTTTTAGTTAAGTAAATGCAGAAATTTAAGAAACATAAGATACAAGGTTCATCTTATCCTATACAATTTAAGAAGAAAAGGATTTAACTATCTAGTCATATCTATTCCAAATAATAACTAAAAGCTATTTAGCTCTTTTGGAGCTCTTAGGCTCCAAAATCACTGCAGATGGTGACTAGAACCATGAAATTAAAAGATGCTTTCTCCTTGGAAGAAAAACTATGATGAACCTAGACAGCATATCAAAAAACAGAGATACTAATTTACTGACAAAGGTCCATTTAGTCACAGCTATGGTTTTTCCAGTAGTTATGTGTGGATGTGAGAGTTGAACCATAAAGAAAGCTGAGCACCGAAGAATTGATGCTTTTGAACTGTGGTGTTGGAGAAGACTCTTGAGAGTCCCTTGAACCGCAAGGAGATCAAACTAGTCAATCCTAAAGGAAATCAGTCCTGAATATTCATTCGAAGGACTGATGCTGAGGTTAAAACTCCAATACTTTGGACACCTGAAGTGAAGAACAGACTCACTGGAAAAGACTCTGATCCTGGGAAAGGTTAAAGGCAGGAAGAGAAAGGGACAACAGAAGATGAGATGGTTGGATGGCATCACTGGCTCTATGGACATAAATTTGAGCAACCTCTGGGAGTTGGTGATGGACAGGGAAGCCTGGCGTGCTGCAGTCCATGGGGTTGCAAAGAGTTGGACATGACTGAGTGACTGAACTGAACTGAAATAGCTCTTTATATAGTCAAGTAAGTAAAATAATAAGGGAAGATTATTCTCTTGAGCTCTTATACAATACCAGTTTTTAAGTGAAAAAAATGTAAAAAATTACAAGATTTTAGAAAAGTATTTTCTAGCCTCATCTCTATTAAACCATACACTATAAAATATATTAGAAGGTGAATAGTTTCATAAAGTTATCAAAGCAATTCAAATATAACAAATATAAATTATTTACTGGAAAAAGAACTGCATACTTTATTTCTTAATCTTGGAGTAAATAAAGGCTATTGGACTTCAAAAATTACACTAAAATGTGGCACAATTAGCATAATAGATACTATCAGTATCTGACATGTAAAATATTGTTTATTTACTCATCAAAGAAAAGTTACTGTCTCTGAGTATATATATATATTTGATAGTTCTTTATCTTTCTTTTATTTATTTATTTTACCACTTGTGTATGGTTTGGGAAGGAAGTCTGACAGATAGTTTACACTGTACCATTTGGAGTTAAAGGTACCTGGATTTGAGTCTTACACTACATACCAATTTATTGTGTGGCTAACAGTAAAGGGGGATGATAGGGGCTTCCCTGGTGGGCCAGTGGTTAAGAATTATCCTTCCAATGCAGAAGATACTGGTTTGATCCCTGGTTAGGGAGTCAAGAACCCACATGGCTT